CATATACATGGCAGTTTCAGTACTTAGTGGTAAATATATTGTTTAATGTGGAAAAAACCCTCACTAACTTGCCTTCTTAAATGATAATTGTGATAAACATACAATAAGTATATCTTTGCTTAGAAATGTAAAAACAGCCTGGCTGGTGTGGCTCAGTAGTTAGAGCGTTGGATTATGCACAAAAGGGTTGCGGGTTCGATTCCTGGTCAAAGGCAGGTACCTGGGTTGCAAGTTCAATCCCTGGCCCTGGTTGGGGCGTGTGTGGGAGGCAACCAATTAATATTTCTCTCTCTCTTTCTCTTTCCCTCCCTTCCCCTCTTCCACTATCTCTAAAAATAATAATAAATGGAAAACTACCCTCAGGTGAGGATTAAAAAAATAAAGAAAGAAATGTAAAAATAGTGTACTTGCAAATGCTAATTAACTAAAACTGAAAGTTAATATTTTGTGAAGAATAGATAAGAAACTAGAACAATTAGACCTCAGTTGGCCCAGGCCAACTGTGAAAATATAGAATCACAGATCTGAACTGGAAAGATTTGATTAGGCCTCTATCATCCAGATCATATTAGAGGCATGAATCGCCTTTGTAACATCCCAGTGAAGTGGTCATTTTGCCCTGGTTTTAAATACTTTTGGTGTAGTGATACTCACTACTTACAATGGAACTGCCCTCAAGTTCTTCTTAGTTAGGGAAGATATACTTATCTGTACCTATATATTCATTTGGTTCTTTTTCTTCTCCTTCAGCCCACACAGAATAAATCTAATCCTTCTTATAACCCTTCAAATATTTGAAGACAACCATCATGGCTAATAACAGTCCTATAACAGAGCCATCACTAACCAACATTTGTCTCCTAAACCAGTCAGAGCCAGGATCTTTATCCTTCCACATCACTCAGCAGCTGAAAGATCCTCATCCATAGGAGATTGGTGGTGGTTATTCTCAGATGATGGGCCTGTGATGTGTTTGTGCTGATGAGCTACTGCTAAAGACACTGGACCTTAGAGGGGAGAACCTAAGCCCAGAGAGCCCCAGGAAAGATCCTTGAGTTTTAAGTTGGTGGCAGCAAAGGCAGGAACAGTGATGCTTTTCCTATACCAAAAACCAAAACAAAACTATTAATTCATGTCATTGACATTCAACCAACCCTGCAATTCTGGAATTCCACTTCCACCACTCCTTCTGCCACTGGCCAGTTGCATGCCCTTGGGCAATCTTCCCCATCATTACAGAGTTCCCTCTGTGATATTCAAATACACATGCTGCTCTTCTGCCTAGAAAGGTAGCCTGGTCTCCTGGCCTCAGCTTAGATGTCATTTCTCCAGGAATGCTTCCCTGACTCCCACCCCCACCCACCCTGAGACTGGCCTGTCTTCCAATGCATTGTATGGTCACCTCTACTGTATCACTTACTTGATTGTGTTTTATTTCTTTTCCTTATTGATTTGAGTGAGAGGGGGAGAGAGAGAGAGAGAGATAGAAACATCAATGAGAGAGAACATTGGCCGCCTCCTGCATGCTCTGCAATGGGGATCAGGCCCACAACCTGGGGAATCGAACTGGTGACCTCATGGTACATGGGTCAACACTCAACCACTGAGCCACACCAGCCAGGCTCTTTACTGTGTTTTAATCACCTGTTCACTTTATTTCTACTGTACTCAAAGTTCTTTAAGGCTAGGACTCAGTCTTGGTCTCCAACACTTAGCTTAGTGCCTGGTTCATACCACAACTCAGAAAATATTTGTTGAAAAAAGGAAGAAAGGAAAGAAAAGACAAAAAGGAGAAGATAAAATGAGGAAGTTAGAGTACATTATCAAAATAGCCTGTACAGCTACAATTCCTTGTTCTTAAGTTCCATCTTTAATGTATGTCAACCTCAGACTTTCAGAAATTCAAATTTTATCTAGTAAGAGGATGTGTTTCAAGTGGTTATACCAAATTAGAAAAACTATAAATATGTATTCATACATATAATATAATTTTAGGACCAAGATTCAGATTTCATTTAGTAAACCCAAACTTTATTTTATATATGTGTAAATTGAATCACAATGAGATTAAGTTATATATCTAAACCTACCTGGTTAGTGGGAAGACCAGATTTTAAACTGTCATCTCTCTTGCCCCTAAATCAAGATAGCTAATCTCTAGTCTTCTCCCTTTTTGAAAGAGCTGTTACAAATTTGGCTACAAATGGAAGTGGCAGACGTTTTTCCCTTTTATGTGTTGGTTATATCAATCCACAACTTTTGGGCTGTAAATTAAACTTTGAGAAACACCCTTCTCTTTTCTCGCAGAAATGTCTACGTGTGCTACAATGCCACACGAGGTGACTCCTATAAGTTGTTTGCTTCTTGAGAGCTGCAGTCATGTGAATTGCTTTCAGCCAGGTTGGATATTCAGGCTCAGTGTTCTGATGTTAAGCCATAGGAGAGTGCTGCCATGAGACCAGCTTCTTGGCAAGCAGCCCTGAGGTGCAGCTGTAAGGTGACCCAATGCAGGCTTGAGGCCAGGGCCCAATGCTCAGTGCCAGAAACCTGAGCCAAACATTGGAACTGATTCCTAGGGCACTGAATTGGTCTCAATTAAAATTTTAGCTAAAATGATTTTCTGTTTGCCCCAAAGAACCACTTCAATTATAAGCTCATAGGAAAACTGAATGTTTTGCCATTATACTTGGAATACTTTTCAGAGGCTAAACCTAGGAAGAGAAGGAGGTGGAGGAGGAGGAGGAGAAGGAGGAGGAAGAAGAGGAGGAGAATGAGATTGTTTAAGAAGTCATAAAATATTTCTTGAAAGCAACAGTATTAATAAGATATGCTGACTGGAGAACCTTTCTTTTTCTAGTCTTTGAATATGCTGTGTAAGTTGTAAAACTACTTAAAATGTAAGGTGATATTGGAGTAGAAATGGTAGAGGTCATGGTCAAGGGGATGGTGTTGATTGAACCAAACTCTGGACCCACACAGATTTGAATTCAGAACCCAGCTCCATCACTTAGTAGCAGCTGACCTTGGGTAGTGTACTTAATCAGAGACTGTGTTATATACTGGAGTTTTCACCCACTATGGTAGAACCACCTGGATGATTTTAAATAGTACTCCTCCACCTGAAGAGACACTTCTCCAAACAGGACATACAAATGGCCAAGAGACATAAAAATGCTCAACATCACTAATCATCAGGGAGATGCAGATTAAAATGCCTATGAGGTATCACCTCACACCTGCCAGAATGGCAACCATCAATAAATCATCAAACAACAAGTGCTGTCTAGGATGTGGAGAAAAAGGTACTCTAGTACACTGCTGGTAGGAATGCAGACTGGTGCAGCCACTATGGAAAACAATATGGTATTTCCTCAAAAATTTAAAAATTGAGCTGCCATTTGACCTAGTGATTCCACTTCTAGGAATATATCCTAAGAAACCTGAAACATCAGTCAGAAAGAATATGTGTACCCCTATGTTTATAGAGCGCTATTTATAATAGCTAAGATCTGGGAACAGCCCAAGTGCCCATCAGTAGATGAGTGGATAAAAAAGCTGTGCTACATCTACACAGTGGAGTACTATGTAGCTATAAGGAAGAAAGATCTCTTACCCTTTGAAATGACATGGAGGGATCTGGAGAGTATTATGCTAAGCGAAATAAGCCAATTAGGGAAAGAAAAATATCACACGATTTCACGTATTTGTTGAATATAATGAACAAAATAAGCTGAAGAACAAAATAGATCCAGAGACATGGAAGTAGGGAACAGACTAACAAACCTCAGAGGGAAGGGGCTGGGAAGGCAGGAAGAGATAAACCAACGAGCTTATATGCGTATATGCATAACCAATACAAACAGTAATGTGAAGATGGGGGAAGGGGGAGGGAGGAGAAGAGTGGGGAGGAGGGTGTCAAGAGGGGAAAAAGGAGAGACATCTGTAATATAAAAATATTAATGAATTGAGTAATAAAAATAAAAAGTACCCCTGCCACCGTGGCTGGTTTGGCTCAGAGGTTAGAGCGTTGGCTCGAGGACCGAATGGTCTCGGGTGTGATTCCTGGTCAAGGGCATGTACCTGGGTTGCAGGTTTGAGTCCCATCCCTATGGGAGGCAACCAATTGATGTGTCTCTCTCATACTGATGTTTGTCCCTCTCTCTCTCTTTCCCTCCTTTCCACTCTATCTAAAAAATTAATGGAAAAATATCCTTGGGTGAAGATTAACCAAAAAATAAAAAGTACCCCTGCCTGTGCCCCAACCCAGACCAATTAAATCAGACTCTCCGGGGGTGGAACCCAGGCATGAATACTTTTGAATACTCCCTGAGGATTCTCACGTTAAGCACCAGTGGCATAGTGATTAAAACTTTGGATTTAGTCAAATTGAGTGGGCTCAATCTACAGAGGTGCCATTTTGTAGTATCTGACCTTGGACAATGCACTATCCGAGCCTCAAAGTTCTTATATGTGAAATGGGTTTATACGAGTTTAATGTAGGGTTGTCAGGGGATTAAATTAAGTAAATTGTATAAAATATAGTGCAGTGCCCATGACATAGTGAATATTCAATTATTGTCATTATTATTATTATCATCCATAATTTCTTTCATTCATATTGGGTTTACAGCCCAATTTGATTCTGTTCACAGTCCTGCAGAGAAGACGGATAAATCAGAAGCATCTTACTAATGAACATGAAAAAAAGTGGAAAATCCTATAAGGATAAATATTTGCATACAACCTTTTTGTCAGATTTTGAGTGAAAAGATAAAGTTCTGGGTCTTTACTGACTCAAGCTTCTACCAGACCTTAGTATTTATTATTTTTTTTTACCTACAGAGTCTTATTTTAAAAAGAACAAACAAAAACTGAAATACGGACTTCCGGTCAAGATGGCGGCGTAGGTAAACGCGGTATCGGGTCCTCTCACAACCACATCAAAGTTACAACTAAACTACAGAACAACCATCATTCAAAACCACCTGAAATCAAGCTGAATGGAAGTCCTACAACTACGGAATTAAAGAAGCAGCCACATCAAGACTGGTAGGAAGGATGGAGGTGGATGGGCTGGTCCCACACCTACATGTGGTGGATAAAAATCAGGAAGATACCTTGGCTAGGAAGGTCCTCCCTGAGGACTGAGGGGTCCCCGTCCCACACCAGGTGCCCCGCTCAGGGTTGCAGTGCCAGGAAGAAAAGTCTCCATAACTTCTGGCTGGAAAAACCAGTGGGAACTAAGGCTCAGGGAGGCTGAGGCAGCTGGAGCCCCAGACAGCTCCTCTTAAAGGGCCCATGCACCGACTTATCACACTCACTCCCTCTAAGCTTGGAGGGGAGGCAGCTGGAGGGGCACCAGAGACATACAGGGAAGAACTGAGCTGTTTGGCATTGGAGTGAGGGCTGGAAAGGGGGCTTTCTCCGGGACAGACATGCTGTCAGAGGCCTTTGTTCCTTTGGTGAGCCCTTCCTTGGGGTGGCAGACAGCTGCCATATCTGGGACTCCAGCAACCTGGCTCACACTGGTTGCCCCGCCCTTGTGATTCCCTGAGGCCCTGCCCCACCCAACTTTCAGGCCCACCCAAGCTGTTGCCACTTGCTTAACCATAGGATTGGCCTGTCTTGGATCCTGCTTCAGGTTTTCCTGAATTCTTTCAAACAAGCAGCATCTGGTCTCAGATAGCCCCATACTTCTTGTTAAGTAATAACACAGAAACAAACACAGGGAGGCAGCCAAATTGTGGAGCCAAAGAAACAGGTCCCAAATGAAAGAACAGAACAAAACCCCAGAAAAAGAACTAAGCGAAATGGAGATAAGCAACCTAACAGATGCTGAGTTCAAAATACTGCTTATAAGGATGCTCAGTGAACTTAGTGAGAACCTCAGTGAACTTAGTGAGGGCCTCAAGAGCATAAAAAAGGATCAGTCAGAAATGAATGCACAGTCAGAAATTAAGGAGGCACTAACTGAAATAAAGAATAATTTACACAGATTCAGTAGTAGAGTAGGTAAAGCCAAGAAGCAAACCATCGATTTGGAATATAAGGAAGCTAAAAGCACCCAATCAGAACATCAAAAAGAATCCAAAAAAATGAGGATAGTGTAAGGAGCCTCTGGGACAACTTCAAGTGTGCCAACATTCTCATCTTGGGGGTGCCAGAAGGAAAAGAGAGAGAATAAGAAATCGAAAACCTATTTGAAACGATAATGGCAGAAAACTTCCCTAACTTGGTGAAGGAAACAGACATACAAGTCCAGGAAGCAGAGAGAGTCCCAAACAAGATGAACCCCAAGAGGCCCACACCAAGACACATCATCAAAATGCAAAAGGTTCAAGACAAAGAGAGAATCTTAAAAGCAGCAAGAGAAAAGCAGTTAGTTACCTACAAGGGCGTTCCCATAAAACTGTCAGCTGATTTCTCAAAAGAAACTTTGCAGGCCAGAAGGGAGTGGCAAGAAATATTCAGAGTGATGAAAAGCAAGAACCTACAGCCAAGGTTACTCTATCCTGCAAAGCTGTCATTTCGAATCAATGGCCATATAGTTTCCCAGACAAGAAAAAGTTAAAGGAGTTCCTCACCACCAAACCGTTATTATATGAAATGATGAAGGGTCTTTTTGAAGAAAAAGATAAAATATATAAACAAACAAAATGGCAATGAATACATATCTATCAACAACTGAAACTACAAACAAAATGAACAGGCAGAACAGAAACATTCTCATAGATACAGAGAACATTTTGTTGGTTGCCAGATGGGAGGGGGGTTGGGGGAATGGGTGAAAAAGGTGAAGGGATTAAGAAGTACAAATTAGGGATTAGACTGACAAACCTCAAAGGGGAGGAGATTGGGGGGTGGGAAGAAATAAACCAAAGAACTTATATGCATAACCAATGGACACAGACAGCAGTGTGGGGAAAGGCAAGAGGGGGGCAGGAGTAGGGAGGAGGGGATCAATGGGGGAAAAATGAGGAACATCTGTAGTACATTCAATAATAAAGATTAAACAAACAAACAAACTGAAATATGTAAACACAGACAATCAAGGGAGATGTATATTGGAAGAAGGACAATGGAAGATGGAGGCCTCTAGCTAGAAAGATATTTCTTAGAAGACCATCTCAGTACTTTTTAAACTTTAGTATACATTAGAAAATCATCTGAGTGCTTGTGAAAATCCAAATTGCTAGGCCACACTCTTAAAGATTCTGGGAGCAGTTCTGGCATAGGGCGTAAGAATTTGCATTTCTAACAAGTTTCAAGATGATGCTGATTTTGCTGGTCCAGGGACCACACTTTGAGAATCACTGATGGCTAGACATGTAGCTCTTGATAATCTGGGTGTTCTTAGACCCTGTTGGTTATTCACCCATGCAGAGTTGGTGGCCACCCCAATAATCTCTTCTGATGACCAAGATACTGCCAGAGAACAGAGTGAAGGTTTTCTGTTCAGTAGTCTTCTTGGCCTTGAGTTGTTTTTTTGTGTTTTTTTTTTTTTATCCTCACCCAAGGACATTTTTCCATTTTTTTTTGTACAGATAGAGTGGGAGGGAGAGAGAGGAAGAGACAGAGAGAGAGAAACATCGATGTGAAAGGGACACATTGAGTGGCTGCCACCGCACGACCAACCAGGGCTGGGGACAAACTGCAACCGAAGTACGTGCCCTTAGCGGGAACCGAACCCCGGTCTCTCCGGACCGCAGGCCGATGCTCTAACCGCTGAGCCAAACTGGCCAGGGCGGCCTTGAGTTTTTTAATTGCACTTTCTTTTACCCCTTGAAGGTTGCTTGTTGTGCAGTCTTAAGGTCCAACAGTAGAGTGCCATAGTTCATTCTGGAAAATGTTTGGGAACACATCTTTGACCACTGACCAGCCATACACCACTTTATTTACAATTTCCCCAGGGCTCTTGCATATCAAGACAGACCCCATATCCAGCAGCACAGAATGAGCATCCTTCCACAGAAGCCTCTTACTCTTACCTAGCACAGAACAAATGGAAAAATCTGGGATTTTTGGTTACAGTCTCAACTTCTTTATTTCAAGAACACCAGGGCACATAGGCAAATCCAGTCCACCATTCCCCAAGTTAAACATACAGATCAAACTCTGTAACAATCCTGGATCACATATGTTTTTAGGAATTTGCATGATAAAGGGCTAATAACTCAATGTACCCACACTGCATCTTGCCTCAAGACCATCTTATTCTTACAACTTCACAATTTCTGTTAATGCTATTTTTTAATCCTCACCTGGTGATATTTTTCCATTTACCTTCAGACAGAGTGGGAGGGAGGGAGAGAGAAAGAGAAAACATTTATGTGAGAGACACATCAATTGGTTGCCACCCACACGACCCGACCAGGGCCGGGGACCAAACCGCAACTGAGGTACGTGCCCTTGGCCGGAATCGACTGGAGACTCTTTGGTCCCCAGGCTGCTGCTCTAACTGCTGAGCCAAAATATTTAATAATATTATAAAAAATAATATTATTTTTTAAATCATAGTTACCCAGACTCAAAACTTGCACATGACGACCCCTATTTGTTAAGAACTTAATTCTCACAACAACTTTATGAATGGATACTATTCTATCCATTTTATGTATGAGGATTTTGAGGCTTAGCAAGGTTAGGACATAACTAGAATATAAACTCCAGAATTTTTGTCAATTTTATTCTCTGATAGAGTTCAAGTGCCTAGAACAATGCCTGGCCCATACTGGTGTTCATTAAATATTTATTGAGTGAATGGAGGGTCATAGAACAAACACCTGGGATTTAGGATTTGAAACCAGATTTGATTTAACAACTATAACACATTTGCTCTTTCTTCAGCTTTGGCTTTCCTTTTGTCATCCCAAAAACTCATTCCCCCAAATCAGTTACGAGTCCTAGCAAGTCTGTTATTCTACTGTTTCTTGCATTTTGGCTGCTTTTTTTTTTTTTCCATTTCTGCTGCCACCAACTTAGTTAATGTGATTGCTGTTTATTTCCTCAACTATTGCTATCCTATCCCCTGTGTTGCCTATACAACTTTACTAGATGACTTTTTTCTTAAAACACATTCAATATATATCTTACCTCGGCTCAAAGACAAGGGAGGTTGTGTGGTATAATGAAAAACTAAGGAATTAAGAAAACCAGAGTTCTGGTCTCAATTCTGTGACTTTGGACAAGTCATGTACCCTCTTAGATGTCAGTCTCCCCATTGATAACATTAGGAAGTTGGACTGGACGATCTTCTCCCAGTCTAACATTGTCCGGTGGTTCGATGCAGGCCCCGTGAACCCTGTCACTGGACACCTACCAGGAATCAGGTAGAAAGGGCAGTTGTGCCTTCAAGGAGTTTAGAATAAGATTAATACATATATTTTTTATCAAACAAAGCAGAGCAGTAGAAGTGCTGTCGGAGAAGTAACATGAGGCTCTGTGGCTGTTAGGGGAGGGAGAGAGCACATCTGGTTACTGATGAGGGATTGTGGGCAGGGCACAGACAATGTTCTCTTCCTCTGATGGCAGCCCACCCCTAGTGTACATGTTCTCACCTCATGATGAGAGGAAGGGAAGCTGCTGAGATCTCAATAGCTTTAAGCTGTTGCAGAAATCCATGTTGAACACTGTCTAATTTGGAAGTTGTTGGCTCAAGATACCCAAATTGATCTAATACTTGGAAAGTGCTTATAGGGCCAAAGTAAAAAATAACAGTGGTTGTCAGGTTCTTGGTAAGTGCTCCATGGCTTGCTCTGCCAGTTATTAGTCAGGTGGCTTCGGGCAGGTCACTTCCCTGAACCTTGGTTTCACCTCAGTTCCTCATCTCGAGATTGCAATAATAATATAGAAAATGTAGAATCGTTGTGAGAAATGAATTGGATGGAGTATGTGAAGCCCCTAGCACATGCCTGGAGCACAGCAGTTTTTCAGGAAATTTAACTTCCATCTTGCCTCCTGCTCCTTTAAAGGTCCCTGGGTAGAAACACCCTTTTAAAATCCCTTTGGGTGGTGGTGGTGGTGGGGAATAAATTGTTCCACAGTAATTG